AATATAAAGATAGGAAATGAAAAATTAGAAAAAGTGGCTGATTTTAGATACCTAGGAAGTCAGATAAGTCAGGATAGAAGGAGTAGTAGAGATATAAAGCAGAGGATAACGCAGGGTTGAGTCGTCTTCAATAGAAGGAAGTCACCTCTATGCTCGCCAACGGCGGTAAATTTAGAAATTCGAAAAAGATTGTTAAAGGTGTATGTTTGGAGCAGGGCGCTGTACGGGTGCCAAACATGGACAATGGGCGCGGCGGAAAAGAAAAGGTTAGAAGCGTTCGAAATGTGGTGTTATAGGCGGATGATGAGGATATCGTGGGTAGAGAAGGTTAGAAATGAAGAGGTATTGGAAAGAATAGGAGAACAGAGGACTCTATGGGAGACAATAAAAAATAGACGAGATAGGTTGGTAGGACACCTTCTCAGGTATGAAGATCTAGTCAGAGACATATTAGAGGCAGAAACAGGAGTTAGGAGGGGTAGAGGTAGGTCTAGATTAGATTACTCTTCGCAAATAGTTAAGGATGTGGGCTGTTCTAGTTTTAGGGAAATGCGAAGTTTAGCTCAGGATAGGAAAGAGTGGAGGTGCGTGTCCAACCAGTCTTAGGACTGACGACCTTATGATGATGATGAAAAAAGTCGAGACATTTACAGCTCTGTTTACTGCATAAAAGCATAATTTATTAAAAAATATATATATATTACAGCACATTAAGGTAGGTACCTATTATGTATTTATGTCCGATAATTTATTGGTTAATTTGCACTACTATGTAAGCACAGTTCAGTAGAGATTTTTGCTGAATAGTTATTAAAATTGCAATGTGTGGCAATTTTAAAGCTGGCACGGATTAATAGGCAATATCGCAGACACATCAAATAAACACAATATTTATACAGAGTTAGAACGCACAATAATTTATCATATAGACGCATCATACTGAAAACAGTAAGGCAAATATTTTTTAACCGATCGCACAATTTATGAATAATGTGCTACTTTTAAATGTGTACGTCAACAACAGACGAAATTGATGAAGTGAAGAAAATAGTATTGCTCAATCGTCGAATCACCGTTAGAGAAGTTGCTGAGGAGCTAAACATATAGATTGGCTCCTGCCATTCTATTTTGACGTGACAACGTCTTATAATTCGATGGAGCCGGCTGCACGGACGAAAAAACACCACTCATGCGGCGTTACCTCACTCTGAGGCGTTCCATTAGGGGCTTGAAGTGCAAGCGAGAGCGCGGAACGAGCGACAAAGAGGCACAATCGGCCTCCGCGTTCGGCAGCGTTCGACATCTGTCTCTCTCCTACTTGAGTGAGCGATGCGTCCACGTGGACAGCTGCTATACAATAATACATTTCCATTGACCTCCTTCTCTATATCCATACAAAATATCTATCAAACAAATAAAATTAAAATTTTCTTTTGAAAAATGAAACCATTCCATCAGTATTTTCTTATGACGTTGTCACGTTCCACTATCGTCAGTAAACCGACTTTAACGACAACCGATTTTTTTTACCAATGATTTGGGCATGAGACGGATCGCCGCGAAATTTGTTCCAAAATTATTCAATTTCGACCAAAAACAGTATCGCATTAACATTGTTAAGGAGTTGTTAGACTCTGTCCTAAACGACCCAAATTTGCTCCAGGGGGTCATTACTGGTGAAGAATCATGAGTTTATGGTTATGACGTGAAAACCAAAGCTTAATCATCCCAATGGAAGCTGCCGCACGAGCCAACACTGAAAGAAGCGCGCTAAGTTGGGTAGAATGTGAAGGTTTTGCTTACAGTTTTCTTCTATTGCAGGGGCTTGGTGTATCGTGAGTTCTTGCCACAAAGTAGAACGGTCAACAGGGAATATTACCTGCAAGTTATGAGCAAGTTGCGCGAAGCAGTCCGCTAGAAACGTCCGGATTTGTGGAAGAACAAAAATTGGCTTTTGCACCATGATAACATCGTTGCTTGTGCGCGAATTTGGGCCAAAAACAACACGTTAATAATGCTGCAGCCACCTTTTTTCCCAGATCTGCCCCCCTGTGATTTTTTCTTTCCCGAATCTGAAGACGCCTATGATAGGACGACGCTACGCTACGATTAAGGACATAAAGACGACATCAAAGGAGGGGCTGAACAAGATCATAAAAAATGATTTTTTGAAGTGCTTCGAGGATTGGAAAGAACGTTGACATAAGTGTATAATATCTGGTGGTGGTTACTTTGAAGGGGACAAAATAGATATTCATGAATAAATAAATAATTTTTGAAAAACACAAAATTTGCGATAATCATTGAACAAACCTCGTACATATGAGTTCCTGAAGCAGTGATGGTTTCAAAGACGACTAACTAATGTTAAATTGTGAATTGTATCTTATAACTTCAGACTAATACATTAAGCGTGTTGTAATATATAAAAAATGAATAATTATAAATATGCATATATTATTATTATTAGTAGCTCTTAATTAGACAGCGTTTGGGAATGGTTCATATAACAAATGGTATACTAACCAAAGAAACGGATATCTAACCGCTGCCCTGCTTACTGTTCAATTCGGTTAGTTCTTTTCACTTTGTCTGTACTACTCATGAAGAATTTCCTTAACACTTAACAAGGGCTTCTTCAAAATGCAGAAAATGAGAAAAGATACGTTCATTTTCACAGATTACTTATTGCGGACTTTGACATTTTCAATTCAATTTTGCAAAGCCTCCCGATCGTCATCGACTGCATGACATTTCCAACTAACTTGGAACACTATCGTTAATGGGATTTATTTTATTTGTCACTACAGTATGCACACATTACATACCCGATTAGGTAAACCGACTTATTTTCATCCCCGCACAAAACACCTACCCCATGTACAGCAATTGGTTATAAATATGTTTGTTTAGGTAATTTCACGTTCTGACATTCTTCGCGTGTGTGAAGGTTTCATGTCTCGGCCTTGGAACGTAGACTGCAACTTTTGGGAATAAGATTTCATGATATTTTTTGAATTTACAATCTCGAAATGCTCGTAAATAACTCTAGGCTAAGATTACAGAAAACTGCCCTCATAGCGACATTATGGAGTTAACTGTTTCCTTTGAGCAGACTTACTAAATCTTGAACTAAAATGGTTTCTATCATATCACGGTCAACCCCAAGAGACGCATATTCTCGCTTGCTATATTGCTTATTTTAACAAAGATCCGTTTATATTGTAAAAGGCAACGGCGAGTGAAATTTACTTTCAAAGTAAGAATTAGATTTAAAAGCATTTTCATGGTAAATATGAAAGATGGGCTAACGATAAGAGTAAGAAAATTCGTTGTAATCTTACAAAATACTGGCTGTTGCCCGAGGCTTCCTTTGAGAGTGAATTTTATAATTTGATTGAAATTATCTTTGTTCGGAACTCCATCATTAATACACCATTTCTAATTTTTACTGATTTTGCGAAATTACTGACTAGTACTATGAAAATACTTTTTGCTTATTCCAAACTACTGATGCGAATTAATAAGATACCCTGTATAAACCTAATGGTAATTCCAAAACTGTTATAAGACCATAGGTTGGTATTATGTATTTTTGAAGGTACCTTTCAAACATCTTTATTTTGATACCAAAACCCGAGAGGTTTTAATGCACTTGTTTTATTTTGATGAATACCCAATATGACGCCACCATTTTATTTCCTTTCTTCTTTGAAACAGTCCAATACAGCTATATCCCACGTACAACAATCAAAATGTCCGTTAGGTGTCTATTTATTCCTTTGTTTTTCTTTAAACCTGAACCCCCATTGCATTTTGAAGTACAATAGATCATGTGGGTAACTAGTTCTTTTGTTTTAATAAAAATGGGAGAAATGTTGGTAGGACGCCTTCTCAGGTATGAAGGGCTAATCAGAGACATATTAGAAGCAGAAACAGGAGTTAAGAGGAGTAGAGGTAGACCTAGATTAGATTACTGTTCGCAAATAGTTATGGATGTGGGACGTTCTAGTTTTAGGGAAATGCGAAGATTAGCTGAGGACAGGAAAGAGTAAAGGTGTGTGTCCAACCAGTCTTGGGACTGATGACCTTCTGATGATGATGATGAAGATGCCATACTTGACATATCTCCATCTAATGATACTTGGTGTTAACAAGGGTATCCACTGAATCTACGAGGCAGCTTGTGTTTTACTGTTCTTTACATTCTAAAGGGTTGAATATCTGAATTTTTCCGGACCTTATGTAACATATGAGTGTTTGATCCAGGACGGCAGGCCCTCTTCAGCCTCCTTTAGAAGTAATGGAAGTGGATGAATAGCGGTTGGAGTGAGAAAGATGAGACGAACGAAATGCAGACGGAAAACAGTAAAGGAGACTATCTGTGGAAAATCACTGTCCCAGCATGTACCTAAGGACCTAAGCGATCTAAGAGAACTACAAAAAGACTTGCTAGGGCAGAAGGAACCGGAATCGAGCCAGTTTGCTCCAGAATGCTAAGCAATGATTCAAACTTTCTGGACATGCCGTTAGGCTCTGGACGGCACCAAGGAATGTTAGTATACTTTTATGACAAGCGCATATGAATTAATTAAAAAAAAGTTCCTACCCCTGTTACGAAGAATAAGATTACGAACCTAATAAATGTATTAATTAAAAAATTAGCTTTCAGTAAGCTAATTTCAAAGTTTATATACTTTACAAAAAAGCTGTATACTTCCTATTACATTCGTTCATATTTTTATATAGCAAGTCTTGTAATGGTAGCAAATTTATTGGTTTTTAATTTTATTTATTTTAATTAAAATTTTGCAACGAATTGACTATTCTCCTATGCTAAGTTTCGAATTTCTGCGTTTTCATAATAAATGACTTTTAAAGAAAAGATTCGTAATGGACACATGCGTGTATATAAGTGTAGATATAATTGATCTTATATGGATTTTTTTTCCTTATATGATGATAAATCCAAAAAAGTTACTGTAAATAGTAATATTTACCGTATAGCCTTATGGTTCCTTCAGCCTTTCCCAACGAGTTGGTGGAGACGCAGTTGTACGTGCCAATGTCATCCACAAAGAAACTATGAATAATCAATAGCATGAACACGTTGTAGCCATATTTCTCTTCTCTAACTGTATACTTTGTCCTAAAAAGGAAGTGAAATGAATTATGATTTAACTGTATTTTGTGTTTGTACATTTCCGAAAACTTTTAAATGATTCCGTGAGAAAGATGTCTTATGTAGTAAGTAATTTATTTTCTATTAAATAATGGCATAAATTGATTTATCTATCGAATTGAACAGCGAAATAGCCTAGATACCAGTCAAACAGTATTATAGTTAAGCAACGTTCGCATGGGCCACTTCTTGGATGGGTGCCCAACTGCAGTTAATATTTGGACCGGACTTTTCCGAGAAAACGTTGACCCGGTGGTCTTAAATGATTGACAACCTATAGGCACTCGATAAATACTGGTGTAAGCAATTGATGACTGGTGAAGGCAACGAAAAACAATAACTCATTATACTCCAAACTTTCCTAGTACTGAGTTAATAGAGTTTAGGATGTTCGAGCATTTAGAAATATTAGCTTACATCTCCGTCATCGATATAACACCATAAGAAAAAAGTTGATTTATCTACATTACTCCAAAACTAAAAATTGTTAAAATAGAGAGAAATATAAAGACGACTTTGTATTTAATTGTATAGCAACGAGTTATACTTAAATTAAAAAAAAATATAATATATGGACTATGTTACAAACAAGTATTATTATTAACGTGGTATTTCTTCCATTCCACCGTCTTCTGAAAATATATAGCCCTATTTCCCAACGTCGCCCTGGTAATATATCACATTGAAGAAATATCACAAGAATTTGGAAACAGTATAGATAGTCGTGGAATTTTTGAGAACATTTTCAAATATTCTAGAATTTTCGACAAAACTTTCGAACATATGGTATTTTTTAGAAAATTGTAGGGAATCCTGGAAAATTTGAGAAGTTTTTCGAAAGTTCCATAATTTTATAAAGCAATCATAGAGGAGAGGGTTGTAGTTTAGCAGCATGTGCAATAAACTACTGTAATGGGTAATGTAAATATCATGGAAATGTGATAAACATGATAGGAATAAAGTAAAAATTTATTGACATCGTCAAATTGGCAGCATTTAAGTTTAATGGGACGACTTAATGTCGTCTTCATGTACGTTTCGTCTTCCGAAGATTAAGGCTATTAATAAATAAATCAAAAATTTAATTTTGGTAATTTCTTTGCAGAAAGATGTTCCTAAAATTGAATCATGCTGTATAACGAAAATGTGCGTTATTAAGCAGTCGTTGCAGAATTAAAATTAGGAGCTTTTGTCTGTATTATTTGGAGTTTTATGTTTACTTGTTTCATTTGTCTGCACGCGAACTAAACAAACGTAATGGAGAAGTAAAATGACATATAAAGTCATAATAAGCAAGGAAAAGGGAAATATACGTAGAAATTAGAAGTTTTATATTGTTTCGTTTCCCCGTAATATAAAAAAGTTTTTCGTGGAAGTTAGCAGTGACGTGTATGACTATAGGCAGTTTCTGTCACGTACACACTTACCCATTAAGCAACATTTCTTCCCTGTCTTTTACCCAATAGTTAATTGTGTTAGGAAAGGCTTCTACGTAACACTCTAGCCGAACACTGGTACCAAATGGAGCACCAAGAAGTTGACTTGGAACTCTTATAACAGGAGAAACTGAAACAAAAGCAAGGAATCATTTAATTGCGTTCAAAACATTCCTATCTTCATTATCAAAAATGTACATCCACTGAAGTATTTCATGTGTTAGATAAGGTATTAATTTGCCTACCTGAATCGACTAAGAACTTAATAAATATTATTAATATGGTTTAGCATGTTAATATCTCAATAAGGCCTTGTATAACACAGTAGCAGCAAATACCCGCTAGAGGGCGGTACAGTGTATGTCCTCGGATATTACATAGTATAAACTTGCTCTTTAGGAGCCTCATCAGTTTCATGAGATCTAATAAGATTGACAGCGCGGTCTGCGTCTGGTAGTTTTGATAATTTTTTGACTAAGAACTTAATAAATGTTATTAATATGGTTTTCATGCCAAGCACGTACGTGTACGTAAGGTGTATGGTCGTTTTAGTTTGGCAAGTTAATACCTCAATAAGGCCTTGTATAACACATGAAGTAACAGTAAATACCCATTAGATGGCAGTACAGTGTATGTCTTGGGATATTATATAGTATAGACTTGCTCTTTAGGAGCCTCATCAGTTTCATGAGATCTAATAAGATTGACAGCGCGATCTGCGTCTGCTGGTTTTGATAAATTTTTGACTAAGAACTTAATAAATGTTCTTATTTTAGCTGTTATTTGTCAATTTTGTCTTGCAGCGCCTCGGAGATCGAGCTGAGCGTGAGATGAATCACTCACGCGGAGCGCTCTAATTCATCGGTTTCCTATTGCTTTTGCGTGTCGAAATAATAAGTGGCCCTGTTATTTACAGAGCAAGCAATCCCTAGGGCTTCTCAGGTGTTCAACAGAGTACGCAATCATAGTTTTAAAAGTGCTTCTATTCTATAAACATTTTATTTAAGAAAAAACGCTACGTACCTAGGTAAAAGTTTGTTTGTAGCATGTTTAATAAGAGGTGAACCAAAATGGAAGGGCTTTGTTTAAAAAGGGAATAAGTCGGCTTCTTTTTAAGTTACAAAAATTCTTATTTCGGAAAATGACAGGCTATATATGACTATTTAACGTTCAGTTACTAAATGAGGAAAATTTTTGCAAAAGCACCAGCATACCGCAGGGAGAATCCAAATGAATTTTGAAGATGAAACTGAATCATTACCTAATAGTGATAAGCGCTGAGGCTAATTTTGTTTTGACCGTGTGTGGTTCTGTAAACAAATAGAAATGCGATATTGGACAGCAGAAAATCCTGTGAATTAAATCAATACTCACTTCACAGTCGCCATTTGGAGCGCTCTAACCCGTATTGGTTTTTTTTTTTTTTGAAACATGCAGAGAGGCAACTGTACCTACCTGTGTATTTATAACATCAATCTGATCTGTTACAATGTTGGAAAACCTTTTGAATTCCGAAATTGACAAGCTGACTTATTAACACAATAATTGTTTGGCTTCAACAAAATATTTCACGGTATATACAGTCAGACCTTTAATAGAGATTGTACTTTTTTTGATGATTTTCAGTTTCATTATTAGATAATAACATATTTTTTAGGAATAAATCTTTTAATAAGTTATAAAACACCTGAGTTATTCTCATTTCGAAAACACCCTTCCGTTTCAAAATCCGTCCTCCCGTCCAAGGGTTATGTACTGAAATAGTGATAAAATTTTTTTATATGTACTTCAATATGTGTTAAATGAATCCTGTGAAAACAGCTTCTATATCTATCGATAAATTGCCAAAGTAAAACCGGCGTGAGAAATTTATCGAAACCATAAGATGTAAATCGCAATTTTGATTTTCATTAACACAACACGACTTGATATGAAATACTGCTGTTAACAGTAAATATCAGAAAATGACGATGTACTTACTGCCCACAACTTGGCAAAGGGCAACTTACTAGAATTAGGTACAGGTCTGACGAAGGAAGCTGGCGAGAGGTCGCGCAGGTACTTGCCCATTTATGACCTATTTGGGTAAGTCACTTGGAACCGATACACAAATAAGCTTTCAGTAGGCGTAAATTATAGTATTAATACAGATAGGACAGTAGCGTACTAGAAAATAATGTAAAAACATGACTTATCAAAAAGAAAAAATTAACCT